TAACAAGAAACACAAAAATAATTGTATTGGAGTTCGAATATTAATTTTTATCATTTTAAGCAGAGATATTTGTCGGTCTTACAATATATGTATAATGCTTACATATATATATATATATATATTTTATAATTTCTTCATTGATCTAATTTACAATTTAATTTGCAATTTTTTGTGATACTTTGCTATATAATTTTAAATCCGGTTTATATATTTACAAATTACATTTAAAAACAAAAATCAGTAAAAAAGATAACCCCAACACACAAACACCGTAAATGGACCACAACTGAAGCAGAGATTTGTAAAGAACGAGTAAAAGAAAATTTGTAAAAGCAATATGAGAATTATGTTTAAATCAAGTCGAAAAAAAGAATGAAACGAAATGAGCAAAAAGAGAACAACCCAACCAACAAAAACAATAGAAAAAAAAACATAAAAAAAAAATAAATAAATTGTACACGGCTTTCGTAAAGAAATTTATTGAAGCTTTGTATAATTAACAAAAAAAAAAACCTTGAACTTTGTGTTTTTATTTTATTCACACAACAATATCAACACCCCTCCCACAGTTCCCCTCCAAAACATCTTATCCGCATGTGTTCCCTTCACACACACACACATACACACACACACACACACAATTGTGTCAGGCTGCGATTTGGAGCACATTTTCTATTAGCTCAGCCCGTGGATATTACCAGAAGGAAGGCAAGAAGAAGAGCAAGCAACAGGGTTGCACGCAATGCACGGCTGTTTATTTTTGGCATGATGGAACTGAAAATACCCTTGCAGAGATGAACAACGCATCGTTTCGACAACTGAAAAAAAACTCAACTAAGGATAGTTCCCTTAGCTGAACGTTTTTAGCTGTCCGACAATTTAATTCCATATTCAGTTCCGTTCTTTCTATTTGGCGAAATTATATTAAATTGCACTCGCCATTAATTAATTAAAAAATAATAATAAACAGCCATAAATTTGGAATTAATCGACTTTTTGACTAAACAGAAAGGTTTTTAAAACGTGAATGCGAAATCAGGAGCACCAAGAACTCGTGTCTGTTACAAACTCATGTATGTGTGCAGTTATTAAATGTGATTCAACTATCTGTAAAGCATGATTGTATCTTGAAAATAAAACTATGTAAATGCTTCACTTAAAACCTAATTAAAGTGCTCCCCCCCCCCATGGCCCGGCTCACTTAAACCAATCATATTTAATCCATTCCCGTATGCGTTTCCTTAAAACCAAACCCCCCACCCCACCAAAACAATGAAACAAAGAGATTGAGAAATTTTCAATGGTCGTCCCCCCCCCCCACACACACAACAAATAACGGATGCGATGTGGCACGGCACGGCGGAGGTTATGCGGACAGAGATCATTGAGATTTTATTCGGAGGTAAGTGGGTAAAACCCCCACCACGGCTGCCACCAGCAACACAGTGTCAACAAAATTCAGATAAATACAAAATAAATAAAACTGGTCTACTACGCTCTACTTAATATGCATACGAATGTACATGCATACATACATATAAACATGACTCATTTCACACGGTTTCTTTAAACTAGTATTAACTGGCATAGTTATAGGTATGCACATATGAATGTGTGTATGCGTGTGTGTGTATAGAAACTTGTGGATACTGCTGGTGGCTTCGCTCGCCTCTTGTGACAAAGACAGATCAAAAGAAAACGAAAAGAAACTGTAAACGTGCCTCGCAGCACCTTCAACTCGTCACGAAGAGAAACACAAAGCAGAGAAAGAATTGATGGCTTCGAAGTTGTTTATTAAACGCTGTCGCAAAATAAAAAACTGGATTTGGGCATCATACATACATACATATGTATGTATTACATGTGTGTACAGACACGTGTATGGGCAGACACAAAACATGCACACCCATACATATACATGCATATATGTACATGAGCAAGTATGTATGCATGTTTATGCATACCTTCATATTTTTGTTTACTACATACATGCATACATAGGTATATATGTAAATCGTTATCAAAGCTCTTTTGACTGATCGCTTTCAGTACCAGGTTTTTTGTCCTGCTAAGGGATACATATAGTATGTACATACATACATTTGTATGTATGTATGTACGTATGTTGTTATTGAACGTAAATATATGCACATGTACATGCATATTTACATATGCAAATGCATACATATGTATGTATATGTATGCACTTTAGAAAGTTCAATCTGCTGATGGGCTGACCTACACACATTCGTACAAAAGTACGCGTGGGTCCAAACTAGCCTTTACTGTTTTTTTTTTTTATGCTGATCTCCATGCGTGCGGCTTAATTACATTTTCTACCTATGTATATAAAAGGATACAAATACGTTCTTGCGTTGAATTATGCATAATATGTATGAGTATATACATATGTACATACATACACACATACGTGTATATATGTGTGGCGTACACTTGTATGTCATTTAAAGCAAACGCGTAAACAACAACTATGTTTTGTTTTTTTCTTTCTTTGCTGTTATTCTTCGTTTATAGCTTTGCTTGCGATAATTGCAATCAACAAGCAGCCGTGCAGACAAACACAGAAGAACAGGGGGCCGCCGACACACACATACATACATACATATGTATTAAGGCATAGCGCGACGTCGCGTTGATGTTGGCTTGCAAAATGTCTCGAGCGTGCCCGCCTTCCCACTAATAGCGCCCCCCTCCCCTCTCCCGCAGACCATTACGATAGCGAATCTGAGTTCACATATAATCATTCATACATACACATAGTTGTTTAAAAAAAATATAACTGAAAACAACATGACAAGCGCAAAGCGGTGGTCCGTATTTGTGTCTACGCAATTGGTATCTGTGAGATACATATTTATGTACATATGTACGCACATAAAGGCATACGCACTTACAGAAATACATACCTACAAATTATAGACGTATGTACGTATGCATGTACAAGTGCGTATGTATGTATGTATGTATAAGCATTAATATACAGCAACACGCGTGCACAAAACTCGCATGTAGACGTCGCTCATTTTTACAAGCTTTGTGCGCTGGTCTCTGACGGCAATACTTACATACACACATACATACATTTATACATGTACATGCGAGCGTATGTATTTTTGTAGTTGTGCGCCATACGTAAACTCTGAAAAATATAAAAATAAATTTTGGAACACAAATACATGTACATATGTATGTGCGTATGCCCACGTACAATGCTTTTGTGTATTTTTGTTTATGCGTGTATTTGTTTGTAGGCGCGTATGCCAACGGCTTTTTAAAGCTATGGAATAATTTATTTTTGCTGCGCAATTTCTACTATTGATTTGCCCGTTGCTGTTTTTTTTCTCCTTTTCATTTTTGTTTTGTTTGTTATTTTTACTTTTCGCTTCAAATAGCGTTTGCTGTGTTGCTGACGTCGCAGCCGGCGACGCTGCAAATGCAGATATGTGTGTGAGTGTATGAGTGCACACATACATGCATCCATATATGCACATTAATGTAAAAAGTTTAGGTATAGACAACTTTATCGCTGCACATACATACATACATATATTTTTATGCTTCTGTTGTTGAACGTTTCTGCAGAAATCAGCTCATATACCTACATATGTATGTATGTATGTAATACCTACATACATATGTATGCATGTATGTATGTACATACTTAAAATATCAGACTAATCAAAACCCAAACTAATAAACATTTGCAAATACAAGAAAAACGGAAAAAATGTATGTAAATCGAATTCAAATTTATTGAAGGAAATATGCATGTATAGATATATAGATATTTATTTATGTATTTACTTGTACATATGTACTAATTTATGCAAATTTCCATTAACAATTATATATATTATATATATATATGTATATATATTAATAATTATAATAATTATATTAAGTACGAAAACTTCAAGAGGCATACGTGACTTGCGGCAAGCCTTAGCAAAACACCATAATCGTATTGAAAAAACCACACAATATAATAACATACATATACATATGTATATATGTATACACTAATGTATGTGTGTGTGCTTGTGATACATGTACATGCATGTATATACACACATGTATGTATGCACATACATTCATAGATAGGTATAAAATGCTTTTACTGTTTTACTCACGTTTTGATGTGATTCTTATATACAAAACAAAAGCTTTAAACACACACATGCATACACATACACACAGCACATTGCGGGACATCCAAATAGAGGCTGTTCGTTGTTCTCAGATACAGTGCTAGGCTAAAGACTACGTTTAACTAAAATGTTGTGTCGGAATTTGGCTATTTCTACATCTACTTTTATTGAAGCATGCAACCTACATTTTGTATATGTCAAATTAAACAATATAATATTTTCGAAGGATATTACATTTATGTTTGCCTTCGACTGACTGATTGGCGATCAGCTCATCTATAAGAGCTAGAATGTTGCAATATGCACTGCTCTTACCTTACGTGATGACAGACGGGGTTTCGGGAAATTCCACCCGCATGCGTGGAAAAATCGCGGAAGCGTTTGCATGCAACTTTTTTGCTTGCCATTCGATCAGCTTCAAAATCATTTTCAAACATCTTTTGGCAAATGCAGTTCGAATGCACCGCAAGACTAACATGGGCGGGCAAGGCCGGGCAATATCCGCTAGTATCATATAGATAAGTATTTGATACATATAAACCTGCCATTGATGGACATAGAGTTTTAATCTTTTTTTTTAACATTCTTAAAAACAAATGCTTTAAATTTTCTTTTAATTTTTGAGGTATGATTAATCGCAACTTGATTTGCGACCTGAAATTTCATAGTTTTTTGAAATTCGTGTAAGAACACGACTCCACGTGACTCGGGCATCGTCTGACAGAGAATTGAGCCTGATATTCATTCAGTAGAAAAAATGTGTTATCAGTGCAATTGACCTCTCTGTGTGTGGCGCGATAAGCCCAAGTGAATGGTCTGATCAGTCGCGCATCGAACTTGAGATTCGAGTAGAACTTGTTCAAGTTTAGTTGGAAGATGTCTCGAACGATCACAGTTGCCACTTGGCTAATCCTTGGCATTGGCGTCCTGGAGCCCTGCCAGGTAGGTCGGCCTAATCCTGGTTAGTAGAGACTTATTATCCATTGAACCTTAGGCAAATGTTGTGTTTCACTTTTCGCTGGATTTCAATGTGAAGCAGCCCGAAAACTCTGCGGAAACCATCAATAAAACCATCTTGGTGAACCATAATCTGGTCTCGATGCAGGACAATGAGCCGGGGCCGACCACGGCCTGGTCTGAGCAGGATCAATACAATGAGGTGGCACTGGAGCTCTTATTGGACACAAAGCGTGTGGTGCAGCAGCTCAACCTGGAGCTGTCGCCACTGGTGGGACGCAGCGATGAGCTGGCCGCACGCCTCAAGCAGACCCTGCGCTATGTCAACGGTGTGGATGCCAGCCTGGAGAATGGTCATTTTGGCCAGCATGTGGAGCAGTTGCGCAACTACCTTACGCTGGTCGATACCCTGCAACAGCCGAGCAGAACAGGTGGTGTGCGCACCCTGGAATTCGTACTGCTCAAGTTGGCGCTGGAGAAACACCAGCTGCTGGCCAAGAATCAAGAGGTCGCCGAGTATCTGCAGCGGGCGGATGCGGCTTGGACAAGATATAAAAGCACACAGGTTGTCGTGTCAGAGAGCTGAGCCCAAAAATATACCTAAAGATACAATAGTTCTCTTCGGTGTGCCGAAGTTGAAATACCCTTGCACAAATAGAGCGTACGAGCGATATACATATTTCGTTAATTCCTATTGCATCTCTATAGTAGACCTCTATATAGTCGTCCGATATTGTTAAGAATTTGCTTTTAGGCTTAAGCCGAGTCTGTAGCACCTCTGTATTCGATCGATTTATTCAGCCGACTTTAGCATAAGTCCTGTGTGCAGCTAACATATAGAACTAGGCTAGTTTTATATCTGAATAACCAGCAAATATATGCCGGAACACACACATGTGTACATATGTATATGTATGTGAATTTCCTGTTCTATGGCTCAAACATTTCTTAGCAAATAATAACAGCCTTCTCTGCAAGGGTACGTACATATGTACATATAGACATACATATAAATTTAGACTTACTTGAACTGTTGTAAAGCATCGTGCGTTAGTTCAATCTATAGAATCTAAAGAGCCAAACAAAAGCCGTCTCCTATTAAGTGAAACAATAAGTAAGGGAAAAGTAAATGCCTCGAAGGGACTTCCTGTCGTTGCATTTCGCTGTTCCACTGCAATGCACGCCATTGCTACAGGTACAAGCCAGAGTGGCATTCATCTGACCCAAATCTCCCCTGGGCCGGTCCCTAGAAAATACGTTACGCACGCTGGGAATGCGTTATGAGTGGAGGATTTCAGGTAGCCGCAGACAAAGGCAACGACGCATAAAGTGCCCCGAACAGCTGCCGGACCCGTTGCTAATGTGCACCACCAGAACAGACGGCGGCGCAATAGGGTCCTCTCTTCATCCCTCTCTGTATAGAAACAGAAATTTCCGAAAACCTGAGACCACTACGACGATAACCTCACACATATCCAGATACATATGTGTGTGTGTGTGTATACAACATGCACATATGCCTTTGTATATCAGAGCTGCTCACCTAAAATATAAGCTAGTTTTAGGATCAAAGTAAAAGCGGCTTTATTTCGACATCAGATATCTTTTATACAAATTTATACATTTTACATATCTATTTTATTACAAATTGTGTAACAAGTATAAAAATAAGTGTGGAAATGCCGCAGTTCGCGCATTTAACAAGCTAGATCTAGCGGCAAAATGTGGAATTGCCAACACTGGATATGTATGCACATTAACATACACACATGCATACATACATATAAGTATGCATAGACCCTTATCTCAAATATGTGATACTCAATCACTTACACATTTTGTGTGCTTGTGTGTGTGTGTGTGTGTGTGTGTGGTCGTGGCTTCCCTTAACGCTCAATTATGCTGTCAATAAGAACAACTACCATACACGAAGTACATGTACTCAGTTTTAAGTGTGTGTGTGTGTGTGTGTACGGGTATATGCAAGTCCTGCTGAACGCTTGCACATGCATGTATGTATGTAAGTATGTATACATAAATAACCCGATTGGCCAATGCATGAGTCAAATACAGGTTTTTGTCTTCTTATAAACGAAAACCGATCGCACCGCTTTGGACTACATGCATACATACATATGTATGTACGTATACGAGGGCTGCCAATTTTATGTTTATGAAAAAGTTCAGTCAAAAGCGCATAAAAGTTCCCAAAATTCATGAATTAACTATCTTGTCCAAATTTGGCATATATCCTTTAAATATATGTATAAGAGTAATCTTGTTCAAAATGGGCCATTATATCATATAGCTGCCATAGGAACGATCATACAAAATTAAGTTAATTCATGAAAATAATTTTTGGCCTGATAAGTTTGAAATTCTATAAATTACTTAATTCATAAATTTTAACATGCATTAAGTGTATCTTTCAAAAACATTTCTCTAGTTGATTAACATTTGTCTAACAAAAATGTTTATCCATTTCGTTATTAGGGACCACAAATGTTAAAAATTATCTGTTTTATTATATATGATCGTGTGCATAGAACGATAATTATCACTCGATTTTTTCTGTCGAGTTTTCTTATCTTATCCTTTTTTGGCCAACTGTATGTAACAGGCAGAAGGAATCAATCATGAAGCATATTTATTCTTGGTCAGCATCAATTGCCGACTTGATCTAGTCATGTCGAACGCAAAACCTGTAAGACCTAGAGACTTGATGATCATTGATAACTTAACCTGTTTCCTAGCAATCGATTATAATCGATATCGAAAACTATTTTATTGTGCTTAGCGGAAACTGCATTTGGTGATAGTAGAAATTGGTTCAGAGTATTCCCTAGTCAGACACTTTTGTTTTTAATTTGTGTAAGAAGGCTTTTAACTATTAATTTTGGACAAGTAAATGTGAAATATTTGCTAAATATTTGAAGTAACAGTTAAATTATTTGTTTGGTAAATATATTTAATTTTCAGTTATTGAACAATAAACGAAAATAAACAGTAAAATTAATGGACATTTAAATAAATATATTTATTATATTTAACCATTGAACATTTTATGACAAAAGTTGCAAGGCTTTGCTAGCTTGGCACATAAGATAAGTTTATCAAAATTAAACATCCCACTCGTTAATATCGATCCCTGTTAATAACAGCATACATCGATAACAAGTATCGCGCACAACAGCAACAGCTGTTGCACGACTTTACAGTGCTCGTGTCGGACGGGAATGTTGCTTGGCAAATGGCAAAACATAAGTTTTTAAATCAGTTCAAAACAAATTCGATTGCACTCATTTTCAAAAGCGATAATGCATGAGTAAATTATTAATTTAAAAACTGGACTCGACAGCTGGGACTTCACAGATGAAATTAGTGACGAATCATAAGAAAATCTCATGCAAGGAATATGTAGATCCATATTGATTTCTTCATTCGATAAATACCAACACAAAAAGCCGCGTAGAACGTTTCAAAATAAGCCCTGTGCGTTGCTATCCAGTTTTGTGATGAATACATGAAATCACATATTCAAAAATATTTGTATTTATTTATTGCTAAACCTAAAGCTATAAACTGTTTAGTCAAATTGTGATCATCAATTTGGCTTAAAGTGGCGAAGTATTTTGAGCACTTCGATTTGAAAGTCCAGTTTTTGATCGCTGCTCATGCGCTGCATATGAGGCTTAATGCTGTCAAAAAATGCCTGATCGGGATCAGGATCAGCAGCTGCTGTGGTTGGAGGATGTGCAGCTGAGCTATTTGCGCAGTTGAGTTCTAAGGCGTAGGAGCTGCTTGTTTCGCTTTTAGCTGCTGGCGTTGAGGCGTCTGTTGTGTAATTTAAGGTATCCAGCACCGAGTGCAGGCCATCCACAGCTAATGTTGCTTCATTGTCCTGCGTGGTGCCGGGGTTGTCTGAGGCGCGTCGCCGCTTATTTGGCGTTCTAAGAATGCGAAATTGCTTGCGTTTGTTTTGTTCCTCCTTTGGCGCCTCGTCGTCCTCCGTTTTGACATCTAACAGAAAGCTGAGCTCCTTTTCGTAGATGTAGGAGGCGCGGCTGACCTCTTCGCCGCTTTGACGCAGCCGATTCACGCGCAAGTAGCTATCGCGCGTGTTTTTCCAGCGTTTTAGCAACGTTTTTGCTGCAAACGAGATTATAAAAATGTAAACAAACACATATTGCATTGTTGCCCAGCACTGGCAGAGCTGCCTATGCATAACTTGCCAATTTCTTGCTTTTCCGCGCCGCTGGCCGCTTCAAAATTCTTGCACAGCTGTTGGCCAATTTGCTGCCAGGCCTGATCACGCAGTTCGCGATTGTGAACATTTTCATGCTCTCGATCCCAAATGATGTGATGTTTTTTCACAGCATCAATAAAATCATACATGGAATACCTAAGATTAATGCCAGCGGTTTTCAACACTTTGTGGTTGCCCATCGCACAACAATATTCGGCTTCTTAATGTGCTTGGTTGCTTGTGCATGTGTGTGTGTGTGTGTGTGTATATATAAAAATGCGCGCGCTAGCAACGTGCTGGCTACAAAAACAGCTAAGAACTAAATGAAAGACGCGTACGAAAACGCTAGCAAAGCGCACGACAGTCGCTACGAGAGTTGCCAGATGGTTGAAGTTAAAATGTTTTATGCGCCTTATATACTTGTATTTAAGATGACAACAAATGTCATAGCTATTATTTTTAAGTTTTAAGCGTAAGCGCACACAGACTTTCCTTTATTTGGGTATATTAATTTGATTATTGATGATCATCATTAATATTTTATGCATTAGGAATGAAAACTTAACAACTTTTCCTAGTGCTGCCCCATTCAATTCCTCTTCACGGATAGGTTTAAAGATTGTGCAAATTTGTGTGTTCATGATCCCATAAGCCTTTGCTCCTAAGCTTATTTGCACAACACAAAACACACTCGAGTCAGCAACCTGTTGATTTACGACTAATAAAAGTCCGTGCGATAATGTTTCCTTTTTGTTTATTAGATAGACATAGGTCAGTTATAATATAAATTGTTTAATAAGTGCAACGAAAGAAGCCTGCGTTTAATGACCAGTAATACATGTGAAATTGTGTTAAGTTAAGCGAGAGAAATGCAAGTGAATGTTTGTGAAACGCATTAAGTGTGTGTTGTTGTTGATGTTTAGTGTTGTGTTGTTTTAAACTGTTTCTTTTTAATTGTTTTTTTATTTTACATGGGCCTGCCCATACCACGACCCATGCCCATGCCGCCGCCACCAGCCATGGGCGGCTCGCCGGCCTTCGGGCTCTTTATTGTCTCATCCACAGACAGAATCATGCAAGCGGCCTCTGCGGCAGCGGTGAGTGCATTTATTTTTATTATCGATGGCTCCCACACGCACTGCTCAAAGTTATCGGAAATGTCCTCCTTGGTGATGTCCACGCCAAACCATTGGCCACCTTTAATTAAATGATTCATTATTAAAAATATTGTTGTTTATAATACTATTCATAAGTAGAACATTTTTACTTAAAATAAAAATTAATATATATATATTGCAAATATAAATTGTTAAGCTTGGCGCGCGCACCCCTAGCATAAAACAAATACAATTTCCGACGCGTTGGCAACTCTGCTATAAAAATGCCCGCGCGCAAGACAAAGCAGCAAATATGCAGACTATGGCAATTGGTGCGAAAGAGCACACACTGGTTGGCAGTTGGTGCGAAAGAGCACACACTATGCACAACAGCTGCCGAACGAAAGAGCTGCCAAGACAAACACGCGCTAGCCGAAAGAAACATTAGTTTCAGCAGAAAATTCAGAACAGAAGCGAATTAAATACAAAAAAAAAAAAAATAAAATAAATTAAAATCCATGTAAAAATGTCTACATCAGGACGTAAACGCAAACAGCAGCTAAAACCGCGTCAGGATGTGCATCGTTCGCCGGTAAAGCGTCAAAGTTTGGATGTTAAAACGGAACCGCTGCTGGCCAGCAGCTATCCCCTGGCCGACTACGATTGCGTGGATATAAAACCCGATCTGACCGAACTCCAGCTGCAGCTGGCGGTGGCAACGCAAAAGGATGTGACAATAGCAGCGACAACGCCGGTCGAGGATACAAAACCAGAGTTGGAACAGCAAAGCGATTCGGATGAGGATGGCTATTCGGAAATTAATTTTTCTGCAGCGAACGATGTGTATTGTGAGGGTAAATTGTACATATGACAAAAATAGTTATCTTCGGGTAGCCGAATATTGAATACCCTTGCAGACATACAGCAGATGCGAACTATGAATTTCTATGCTCAAAATGCGAAAAACAAAACAGAGACTTTCTATGGCACTCATAAGATATAGTTTTTCGATTCAGACTTTGACGAATACTCTATAGATTCATGAAATATAAATGACAAAGTTAAATTATGCTCTGCAAGGGTAGTTCACCTCATTTAACTATCGTATTTAACGCTTATTTCCCCCTGCTTTAGATGAAGTGGATGACTATGATCCGGAGTGGACAGCGCAACAGACAACACCCCGGCTGATATTTAAATTCAATACACCTCCAGGACAAACGGGTCTGAAAGCGCTGCGCAAATTGATCTGCCCTTTGTATTACTTTAATCAGTTGCTGGGCAATCGTGGTGACTTTTTCGGACAGCTTGCACGTGGCTGCAACGGACGAAATGGATTGCTAAAAGCCAGCTCCGAGGAGCTGGAAACATTTGTGGGCCTGTGCCTGCTGTTGTGTGACATGAAGCTGCCTCAGCTGAGCGACTATTGGTGCGAGCACACATTTCAAGGATTTTCGGGATTTGCGGCGAAAATGTCGCAACAGCGTTTTATTGACCTGCTGCACGCGCTCAACTTTGATGAGCTGCCAGGAGCAGGTGCAAATGCCTGCAAAGCCGCAGGCAATGCAGGCAAATTGTTGAACTTTTACAATGCGCGCATGTCGGAGCTGTACACGTGCGGGCAGCAGCTGGTGCTCAATGAGCCCATCGTTCAGTGGAAGGGTAAATTTAGCTACTACAACGAGCTGCCAGCGAAGCAACGCAGCAACGCGCTTATGCTGCACTTGCTCAGCGAGCACAGTGGACTGATCATACGCATGCTGCCCGAGTTAGTGGAGCAGCATCAGCAGGTGGCACGCAACTCCAGGCAGTTGGTGGCACAGCGCTGCAAGCTGGCGCTGCAGCTGCTACAGACACACGAGCAGCGCGGACACAGCGTCTACGTGTGCAAATATTATGGCAGCTATGGGCTGGCGCATGAGCTGGCCAAGTTGGGCACCTATTGCAGCGGGCTGCTGGACAGAAACCGCTATGGCAACAGCAAGGCCCTGGTCTATCAACAGTTGTCAGCGAACAGCATAGCGACCAGATATGCCACGCCTCTGATGATGGCCAAGTGGAGGCGGCGCGAGAAGTGCGTGTATTTCTATAGCTCCGACTGCTTGGCTATCTATGCTAAGGAAATGTCCATGCAGAAGATAAATGCACGACCGAAGCTCATTCAGGAGCTGGACTTTCAGCTGCGTCCCGCGCAGTCTACCCGCCAGCAGCTGATCACCTGCCAGCCTAGCTGTGCGGGTTTGCAGCGGCAGCAACAGTTAGCCATCTTTCTGCTCAATTTGCTGGTCTTTAATGCCCATGTGCTCTATGTGAGCAGTGCGCAGCCTACGCGGGGCTACACCGGTGCCAACGATGCCACCAAATTGAAGACATACGCGGAGTTTCGCGTGGCCATCATTAAGTCGCTTCTAAAGGAGGATAACGCGACTGCAGCTGCTGCGCCAGCAACGGAGACATCACCAGCTGCACCAGTTAACAACAAGCGAGCAGAACAACACGCCAAGCGTACCACAGCCCATCGAGCTGCCCCCCAGGCTGAAGTTGCGGAACTCAAACATGAACTGGTGCTCATTCAGAAAAATGGCAAACCGACGCGCAAGAATTGTCGCCATTGCCACAAGGGCGGCATGTTGCAGTTTACCAAATACATGTGCAACCTCTGCCCGGATACGCCGGGTCTCTGCCTAAATCCATGCTTTCGCCTGTGGCACGAGCTGCTGCAGCAGCAGAGCACGACAAACTCAAAATAAATATATAAATCGAAATGAAAAATAAAACTAACTAATTGATTCTATTAAATTATATACGATACGATAAACAAGTGTGTCAGAAGGATCTCGAACATAACAGCTCAGGTGCGATTTAGCTTGATTAGCATAGCAGGATAGATAAGCAGAGGTGGCTATCTGCGAAACAATTTGTGTGTAGTACATATATCTGTCTTACAGGTTCCCAATTCATATGTGATCCATGAGATCTTTAAATATATATAAGTTTAAAGTTGGCCCAAAGAAAAAGAAAACCTTCAAGCAACAGCCTTACAAATTATCGACTTTTGTGTGTGGAATTCGACAAAACCCTTCAACTGAAATAGGTGCAGCTATAGAAGAATATCTCACTTACCTTGGGCATGCTTCTGGCGCAGCTTGTTGAGAATGTTGGTCGCATCGAACCCGGCATTGTCACACAGCTGACGCGGAATAATCTCCAAGCCTTTGGCAATGGCAGCGATTAACAGCTGCTCCTTGCCAGCAATGGTGCGTGAATAATCGCGCAGCACCTTCGACAGTTCCATTTCGATGGCACCGCCGCCGGCAACAACCGAATCGTGTTTGATGGTGCGACGCACAATCATAATGGCATCATGTAGCGAGCGCTCCGTCTCCTCCAAGAACTGCTCGGCACCACCACGTAGAATCAGTGTGCTGGTCTTGGCATTGGGACATCCTGGGTTTGAAATATAATTCGATTAAGACAATAATGTCTTATATAGTTGTTGGTACGCACCTTGGAATAGGTTGAAACGATCGCCGCCCACTTGACGTTCCTCAAAACGCTCGCACAGACCGAGAACATTGGCTTTGATGTCATTCGCTGTGGTCATAACGGCACCGCCGCAGGCCTTCATTGTACGCTTGAGATCCTCATCGGGCACACGGCCAGCGCAGAACATGTTGCGATCGGCGAAATACTGTGTGGCCACATCACCAATAGGCAGCTTGGAAAGCACCACATTGGCGCCAGATTCATGGATTTTGGCCAATTTATTGTACAATATCTGCCATTCAGCATCAACGACCTTCTGATACTCTTTGACATTATCCACGCGAATCTCGGCATTATCACGCTCGGCCTTCAGTTCCAGTTCGATGTTGAGCAAAGCAATTTTGCAGTTCTCATATGATTTAGGAGCCATCTCAAAGCCAGCATACGAGAAGGTTTTCTTAAAGGCAACACCTGAAACCAACTGGGATTCTTCTAGAGAGCCGCCGGCCACTTTTTTGATGCCAATCATATTCAATGGCAGTAACTCATCCAGCGATAGCACAGCATCCACAACGATTTTGGCAAAGAAATCCTTTTGCTGATGTATAAGCTTCGAAGACATGGCCGTCGCGGCACATTTCTCCAGCAGTGCGCGCTGCTCCTCCTTCGATTGCTTCTCAATGCGCACGGCCATTTCATTGATCTTCTCCATGCACAGCTGCAGCGCCTTGCGTATGGCCTTGATCACAATACGCGGATGCACGCCCTCTTCAACAAAGGGTTTGACTTGTTTGAGGAACTCACCAGCCAGCAGCACAACCGAAGTGGTGCCATCGCCCACCTGTTGAATGTTAATTGAGTCACGTGCCCAAAACAATATTTAAACTTAAGTCTTACCTCGGCGTCCTGTGACTTGGCAATGTCTACCAATGTTTTGGCCGCGGGATGCACAATATCCAGCAATTTCATGATGGTGGCGCCATCATTTGATATGGTCGCTTTGCCCTGTGCATTCACAATCAGTTTGTCCATGCCGCGCGGCCCCAATGTGGTGCGCACAGCGTCCACAATAGATTGACAGGCATTGATATTCGATATCAGCTGCGGCTTGCCCTGCGACGTATCGGTGCCTTCCTTCAGGAGCACAATTTGTGGCTGCTGTAGAACCAAGCAAATAGGTAACACAAAATTAGTCAGCCGTTCGACCAATTGACAGTTTGAGCGTGAGAGGGGGTGCCGAGGTGTTGTCAGTTTTGCGAGAAGCTTCTTTGAAGGTTATGTTTTGCGTGCCGCATGATGCACAACTGCATTAAAATGCAGTTCAACGAATACTTGTTGCATGTACTATTTGATTAGTTACACTTATTTTAAAACTAAAAACGTAAATTCTAATAACGCGGCGCACATGGCATTTAATTTACTTAAATGATTTACTTAAATTAATTGTAATATGTTTTTTATTTGCCTTTGAGGCATTAATTTACATGTCTACTAACCATATTTAATTGATGGAATTTGCCGTTTTACGTTTATATTTGTTAAAACAATCAATTTTGGTAGCAGACAGGCGGCAATATGATTTTCTTTCACGTTTTCCGCAATGAGTAAGCGGCAGAGATGCGTGCTATCGATGACAATATCGATATTAAGACAGGGTTGAGTCTTTTTATATCGATTAAACTCAATTAGAGCAGCAAATTAATGTATATCGCAAGTATTATTACCGATAGTTGTTAATCGAGTGCTAATATGTGACGTATGCATTGACCAGCTGTCATGTTAATTTAAATGTAGCCGTTATTTCATTGATATTTTATTTTTAAAATAAGTTTTTATATCAAGTAAAGCATTGTCAACCGAGTTCAACGCTAAGGGAAGAAGAATATTTAATATCCTTTTATAAATAAATAGTGTGGAAAGCATTTCTGTAATTGTCCCCTTTTATACAAACTTCAAATATAGAAGCGTTTTTTCTAGCTATTTATATAAATTTGGCGATCTTCCATTCGTCGTTGGACACAACATATTCCATTTTAGAATGTGTTGCGTGTTTTTAGTTTGTTCCGACCGCTCAACTTGAGTGAGTTGTTCGTTTTGAGCAGAGGAGCTATTTTAAAAGCCAATTCAATTATCAACTATGTTCAAATAGTTTTCACCTAAATCTAATTCGGTAAATGGAATTGGAATTTTAGTTGCTTAACGCTTACTATGTCGAAGACAACGTCGCAAAAGAAATATGTCAAGTGAGTTTGCAAATTCAAATGATTACGAAACCGTAACTGTATGGGAACGTGGATAACGAAATATAATTGCATTTAAGGAGTGAGTATTGCTGTACAATTATTGCTTGCATAGAGTTCTATGTTTAGATCTCAACACTTCTTACACACACTGAACTATTTATGTAAAATCTGGCTGTCCTAATTGTGTCCATCATTCAACATGTCGTTAAGTCGTTGTCAAAAATTTATGTGTCATTTGTAAAGCTCCAGCTGCTGCCGGCCCCCAATAATTTTATAATAGCCCATACCCATTGAAAATGCTTAAGAAAGAGTGCAATGATGTTCTTGAAGATATACGTAGCAGAGTGAAGTGTGCATTCCCGATCTCATAAGGTGTGAATATATGAAGAGTTAATTTAGCCATATCTTTCGGACCCCTGGCCCTCGTATAACGTATGATGTAGTACATGTTTTATCATTTATAAAATTGACCGAAAAAATATCAAATATAAAAACTAGGCTTGTTTAATATCATCTATAAATCAGGAACATGCCACTTTGCCTTAAACAGATTGTAATAAGAGATATAAGAGATATCTGCGAATGCATTTTGTGAAGGTCGGTACAGGGTATCGCTCAGTCGCGCACACTCGCGTTTGTTATTGTTATGAATGCAGTCAAAACAAATGCTTAAGATTCAAACAATTTGCCGCTTCCGGGAGCGCCTGTTCCCGGTCAAAATTTCTTTGGTCTGGCGAAAGCTTTAACACCCCTCAGGCGGCAATTGACCCCAACCCACACACACGCAGACACACACATGCACAATAAATGCCAAAGCTTTTCTTAATTAAATGGAATGAAATGTGAAAAGCACAGAAAAGCTCGTGTCGTCGGGTTAGTCAATCGGTGTCCGACCGAAACGAAAGATCTCCGCAACCGCTAAGCAAAACGAAACTAGAATAGAGAGTTTTTATAATTAATAAATTGATAAATTAATTAACAAATATAATAGTACTAAATATTCGAAAGAATCTAAGCAGCAGCTGAAATATATATTACTGAAATTAATGTAATATTGAAAGCTACTTGTGACGACTCGAAAACCGCAACGAATTGTGTAAAAGTGTAAAAGGATTTTCAAGTGTTAAATGAAAAAATGATTTATTGAACCAACTATTGTATATGTGCACTGAAAAATTTTCAAGAGAATATTTTTACTAAGTACGCGCCACGTTCTATACTAAAAGTAACATTAGTATACATATTGACGTCATTGCGAAATACACTGCGAGAAACAAGAGCGACAAGTAAATAAACATTTGTTTTTATTACGAAACTTGCGTGGAGTGAGAACAAGAAATTTCTCATGTTAATTACGACGCCAGCCAAACTTTGTTCTAGTTAATATATCCAAGGTTTTTAATGTTAATGGTGCGTATACATTTGTACCATCTTGAATGAATCAGCATTTGAACAATCTATAGATATATGTATGTATTTTAACGACTCATCATTTCGAAATCTTTTCTTTTGTATACTCATCTGTTTATGTTGGACTGAAAAGTTTGTTTAAAATTGTGCAAATTTGCAGCGTATATGCCGCAATATTTTTTATACCCTGTATCCATTAAATGGAGTAAAAATGGCATGTTTCAAATTTAGATTCCATTTGGGATTATCGTTATTTTTCAGAGATTCTTGGTGCGAAGCTTGTCCTACATTTTTTGAGTGGTTATTAAAAAACAGGCAAATAAAATTATTTGTCATTAATATCACACTCTGGATAGAATGCAGCTTGCTGGGTATATCCTAGCCGCGCATACCCGATCAGAGTACTCTTTTTTGTCTGTCGTTGGAGCTGTTGTGGGCGGCCTGACTTGCCTTTCATGTGATGTCACCATGTCGTGCTTCAGCCCAAATAACACTTTATTCATTTAGCAGCATTTGGGGTCCAAACATTTCTAATTTAATTAAATGTGCAACATGAGCCCAATAAATTTACTTTTCAAGCATAATCTACTTAAGCAGCATTTACAAAGCCATTCAACGTATTCGAACAGCAGGTTGCTATCATCGGACTTCCATATATACATATATTCATTATATATTCAGAGGAGACGAGAGTGCATACAGCGTCCGTAGCGTACGTAGATCCACGGCCTTGATAAAGATGATCTTTTAATTTATTTTTTTGAGAGCGTGTGCTCTATGAACTCGCAATAACGGGTCTCATTCTAGGCTGTACCGCTCTCAATATGCTATATATATATATACGTATAGTGAATATATTTATATATATTTCAGTATTGTTAGTATTAAGCGAATGCGTGAACAATGTAAAGAATTTGTTGTGTTCCGTTTGCCCATCATAAAATACAATTTTGATGCGTGGTACAGCCGACCCACAGGGGCTGCTGTATCATGTTATAAGGCGCGCCGCTTGACGTCATTTTGGATATGGTGAACACTTACTTTGTAACGCTAACTAGACTATTTGTATATTCTGATGAATTGCACTTGCATGTGTGCCACATATTGTGGCAAGCACTTGCTGTATAAATCAATAAGAGTGGGCTCAACTTGTTGATAGAATAGCAAAACCAAACAAACAAACCGAACAAAATGAAAAAAAAACAAAACAAAAGGTCTTAGAAGTAAACGAGTGATGAGGAAACCTGTCAAATGCTTGAAGAGCTTTACAGTATTTCGTTGTTTAAGTATTTTTTCAATTTTCTTACAGATAAATCCTAAATGAAACTTAGCGGCAGCGAAATTGATCTACATAACCTCCAATGAGCAGAGTTAAATATAACGAGACTTTCGCTTAGGTCGGACCACACCGCATATGCAGCATATATATTAAAAAAAAAAAAAAAACAAAAAATAAACGACGGCTATATTTTTTATAAATGTTAACCGCAAGCACGATATCTGTTTAAGGTTCACACATAAAAAAAAAAAAATGGCTGAAAATCAAACAAAAACGACCTCTAGCAAAGGGTTCAATGAAAGAAACGCACACATCTTGTTGCCCCACAATGGGGCAGTGCGTAAATTGGAGCAAGAGCGGGACTCCAATGAAAAACAGAGCTTCCATGAAGACTGGCGAAAGCTAGACTTGGGTAAAAATAAATTGAAACGTAAGAAAAAGCTGAGCGCATCGCTCACATCCGTTGGGGATGCAGTCAATCAGGAGAAACGCACACGCATCGAGGGCATTCATTTGAATATAAAGGGCCGTTACAAGAGCAATAACGGGACAGACGAGGCTGCCAACTCGCCTGCGGCGAAAGACCCAGTCAGGCAGCCCAGCAAAGTCGAGCGACCCGTTATTATTGGCGGCGTTAATGTGCTTTCAGCCGCACCACAGCGCTTTAAGCGCAAGCTTCAAGAGAATCTGGACACAATACAAAAGCTAAACGCACTCGCCGAGCAGCTGCGTTTGGAAGTAAATGAGGTAATCTAATAAAATAACTAAATAGTTGTGTTCCTTCTGTATGCTTTTTTATTTACATACATATATAAAATATATATTTTTTTCTATTTTAAGCTAAAGTCCAGTCTGATAACAGAACGCGGTGCTGTGCGCGCCTTAAGGTATGTAGCATATAAAACTACAATGACACTTGCGCGTTTATTTGCTTGTACTCGAAATAATATATGCAGTTCACGCATGCAAGAGTGCATATTTTATATGCGATATTTCCACTCAAAAGTTTAAGCTCTATGTAAAAATGTGCTTTAAAAGTGAGTTGTAGACAACTGGAATGACACTTGCTAGCTTTTCCGATTACTATTTTTGCAAACAATCCATGTTGCTTGCACAGAACTGTGTTGTTTGAAACACCGAATTATTAATACCCTCCTAGACATAATGCATTGTGCGATATATACCCATTTCTGCATAGAAATAGGAAGATGTCATTCCAGCAGAGAACTGGAATGACACTTGCTAGCTTTTCCGATTAATATTTTTGCAAACAATCCATGCTGTTCGCACAGAACTGTATTGTTCGGAACGTCGAATATTTAATACTCTCTTAGACGTAATACAGTTTTGCCATGTATACACACTTCTGCATAGAAATTGGAAGGTGTCATTCCAGCATAGAACTGGAATGACACTTGCTAGCTTTTCCGATTAATATCTTTGCAAACAATCCATGCTGTTCGCACAGAACTGTGTTGTTTGGAACACCGAATTGGTGGCTCTAACACTTGCCTTATCCTTTACTCTTGAAACGTTCGTTTTAATTGTGGCGCCTAATTTTTGATTGCAGAGCGCAAAACGATGCCGACAGTCGAAAGTGGCGCAACGAAGTCAAGAAACTGCAGCAGACGCTGGAGTCAACGAAAAAATCGAATGGAAATAAGAAACTCAATGAGCTGGCCGT